GACACACAGCTACACAACTACACAACTGCACACACCCTCAGACACACAGCTACACAGCTACACAACTGCACACACCCTCCGACACACAGCTACACAACTATATACTGTACACACCCTCCGACACACCTACACAACTACACAACTGCACACACCCTCCGACACACAGCAACACAACCGAACACACCCTCTGAGACACACAGAGGAGAGAGAGAGACACACACACAACAACAACTAGACACGTTTTATATTTAAAAAAAACAGAATAAGAAATATCACTAAGCTACATACAGTCGGATGAAGTTTAACCCATTTGCATTGCTGAGCTGCACTGAACATCACTGCCCGGGTGGTGAGAGTGCGTCTCAGCTTTGTGCTTGGTCTCTGCATCACGCTTGTCGTATCCTTGGTCCTGCGCAGTGTAGGTTTACACTCTCACACTTACCCAACCGAAGAGCTGACAACAGCAGAGCTGTGCCTCTAAGCAGGGAGCAACCAGTCACTGGAGCAGGAAGAGAAAGACAACACAAGAGCCTGACTTTACACTGTCGTCTGACAAGCTTTCTGGAGCTTCGCTGATCAGACAGTCCGGCTTAAACTTGTACATCAGATACCTACAGTAGCAGCGAATCCAGCAAAAAAAAAAAAGTCCTGTCCCTGGCCTTCTTTGCGTCTCAAAAACATGCGGAAAGGTTTCGGAATTTTTAGGTTTGCTCGAACTGTCCCCTTGTGAGGAAACCTGGTACCATTCGCGATTCTGGGGTGTCTGCGGTTCGGTCAAACGCTGATTGACACGACACGACGACAAAGGCAAAAGGCAGCCGTCCGAAGATCGGAATCGGAATCAGTAGTAAAGAAACACCTGATAAACAAAAGTCAGGTTTGGCCGTTGACGAGCTGGGACAAGTCTCAGTCCAATCAAATGCATTTCGACCGTGGAAGAAGATTATAGTCCTAATCTCACTTTTGTCAGGTTTGGAGTTGACTGGCTACATTACACTGGACTTTCTACAGGGGCATTCAGTGTATTTAAATATATTGGATATCCATTCATCCAATTTCTAACAGCGTTATCCAGTACACCAAGACAGGGTTCACCTTGGACAGGACACCAGTCCATCACAGGACACACACATACACTCACACACCCTGGACAGGACACCAGTCCATCACAGGACACACACACTCACACACACACACCCTGGACAGGACACCAGTCCATCACAGGACACACACATACACTCACACACCCTGGACAGGACACCAGTCCATCACAGGACACACACA